CGTGGCAGGAGTACAGACCCAACTGGAATCCTGTGCCCACATAATCCCAGGCCAGGTGGTAGTAGAAGAAGCAGACATAGGCGGCAAAATGCAGAGTCAAGGAGGAGGAGGAGGAGGCGGCGGATGAGGGAGAGGATAGGTGGTTCGGTGGGTCCGATCCCTGGCTCTCCGTCAGGGCTGACACGAGGGCGTTTTCAATGTTACAGGAGTCCTCCAGGAGTTCGTGCATCCGGGCAAATATCTGTTCCATATTTGAACGTTGGCGAGAACGATTGAAGCAGAACCCACGAGAAATCTGCATTTTTTTGGAGGAGAGGGGCAAGGGTTAGGTAGAGAACAAAAGCTGGCAAAATGGTGGACGCAGTAATTTCACGACCAAACCTACTTTTTTTGACGACCAACATTAGAATAACCGCGGGGTATCAGCGCAAACGTTGCGTATCACCTAAATATCTGCAGAGCAGAAACGATAGAGTTTACGTTATCCAGAGTGCCTTACTTTCCCGTACAAACTTACCAGCCACGAGTGATTGATATAATCGTGAGGCGAAATAACTAGCTTGGCGACTGAATCGTGAGGAAGCGCCTCATCTAAACATCTGCTAAAGAAGACGTGGCCGCATTTTGAGAGTTCACTGCTTTCAAAATTTATAAACGACTCTAGTTCGCGACTGATTGCATAGATAGTCTCAACAGTTTGGGTTAGTTTAGACATTTACTACTTTAGGTTTATGATCAGAGTTCCTGAATTCGTTCTAACATAACATACATACGTAGTGGGTCGTTCGTTTTAACCAATTAAGGCTGGTAAGAGAAGTAAGAAGAGTAGACCTGCTCGTAGCACTGGCTTCACTCCTTTCTAATTCCGAAACTGGAGATAAATGCAACAGCACTGAATGACAAGACATTTCCGTTGTCCCTAGCAATATAGGGGATATATCGGTCCCTCTACTGAGCTTAACCAAAAATCAAGTACCGGGACAGCATACAGACAAGAGATCGCCTTTGGCATTAGTCAGTAAGCTATTTTTTTCAAGTTGCAAGCTTGAAGGCCACAAATAAAGGGACGGGAGACAGCCTGTAGTAAAAAGAACCCACCCCTTTTTAAGTAGCAAAATAGTTGTGTGTGGGACAGTGCAATTCGCCGTCCTGCGCCCACCGGCACACAATGGGCATCGTCGTACATGACGGTCGAATGAACAACGGAGAAAGGCTGAGT